TGTGGTCTTTGATGGAGTTGAAGACAGATAGTTATAATTATAGTTTTCCTTAGTTATGATAAAAGATAAGCTACATATAGGACTTTGGACTCACAAGGATGGGATGGATGATATTTTCTTTAAATCTTGCTAAAATATTGTAACTATGTTCTTACTTGATAACTGTTCTGTCATATACAATTTGACTATGTTAAAATTAAGACCTTTCTTTTGTTTAAACAGAAAAGAGGAGATGTTGGGGAAGTCCTGTTATTTGCCTGTGCATTTGTCAATAAAGTACTGTCTGGCCAATAGAACACCTAGATAGGAGGGACTAGGAGTCGAGGAGGATTCTGGGAAGCGGAAACACAAGAGAGTCGACATGTAATGCTGGGTAGGAGCCCGGAAACTTCTCCGGTAAGAAACATACTTAGATTAACAATTATGGGGTAATTACTTAAGGCAGAGCTAGCCAGTAAGAGACAAGCAAGGCCAACAGCTTCATAATTAATATAGCCTCCTGTGTGTTTATTTGGGACTCATGTGGATCTAGAACCAGGCTGGCGCGGCAGAGCCCAGGCGACTGGTGGGGGATAAACAAAAGTGGCTAGCAAAAGAAAAAGCTTCTCTTAACACATGTGTGAGTGGACATACATGTGTGACAGTTTGCCTCTTTAGGCAAGGATAACTTTCAAGGATCCTTCCCTCTTTCCCCATTTGCCTGGGTTCTGCAGAGCAAACATGAGTCATTATGTATGTGAATAAAGGTCTTCTATTGCTGTCCCATATCAATGACTCAAGAAAACTCAAGGGACTGCAGGAAGAAAACAAACATTTTCTGCTTGCACGGTATAGTCTACATTACAGAATTGTTTTACCTTTTTGTTGATGGGAATAGACTACCTCTCTAACCACTAAGATGTGTTTGCACAGAACTTCCTTGTATGTCTTGAAACATATATTCTTCAATTAAAACTATTGTCCAAAAACAACTACAAGAAAGCCAATATTAAGAACAGAAAATAAAGGGCATCATTTCAGGACTTAGATCCAGCTGTATCCTAAGCCAAATCCGGTCTAAGAGTTCTCACTTCAAACCCTAATTCTCACTGGCTTCTTTGGTTTATCTTCTTAAACCAAAGGACCTGGAACCCTCCATCTCAGTCCACAGTCATCCTGGCTTATATATTCATATGTCATCTACATCTAGTACAATGGCAACAAGTGGGTCACACAGCCACACTATAAGCATAGCTGATATCAGTGTTTGATGGATGTGAATCATTCACCATGCTTTCAGAAGAATAATGAAGACACACTAACCTTCAAGAGCACAGTGGCCATGAGTCCACTTATTTTATGCATTATTTTGGTGTTTCTGGGATTTTATCATCTGATCAATATCCTTGTGGATGTGAGTTAATCAAAATTATCTAGGAAGCTGGTTTAAAATACTGGGACTTGAGACAGTGAGATGAGGGAGTTCTTGTGATTTACCCCTCACAGAAACCACTCTCAGAGGTTGCATCCACCTAGAAGAGATCACGAGGGCATTCAGATGCAGAGAGGTAGCATAAAAAGGATGGGTAAGATGACATGAGCACCATAATTCTACCCTACTTATTGCATGACCACAAGCAGCTGTCTTTACATGTGAAGGTCCAAATGATGAAATGGACTAGCCTAGACAAGCACTGTGAACTTTCTCACCATAATCTTTAACCATTCATCCATTCTGGTTATTTTTACCAGCTCACAACGAATGGACCACTTCATGGCATCCTCAATTTCCAAAGCTCTGTGTCTTTTTTATTATTTTTTATTTAGGTTATAAACAAGCTAGTTTCACATGTTAATCCCTGCTCCCTCTCCCTCCTGTCCTCCCCTGCCCTCTCCAGCAGCTCCCCCAGTTCCCCATCCAATCTCCATTCCAATCCCCAAGAAGGGTGAGGCACTCCATGGTGGATCTCCACTAAATATCATTTCATCCAGGTCAAGGCCTAGGCCCTAACCCAAGAGACCCAGCTGAGAGAGACTCCCATATTGTGGCATGGACACTCAAAGTCTATTTGTACGCCAGGGATAAATACTACCCAAGGCCCCATAGATTACCTAGGCCTTCTCACTGACACCCATATTCAGGGGGTCTGGGTCAGTCCCATGCTTTTCACACAGCCATCAATCTGGAGTACAAGAGCTCCCCCTTGTTCAGGTCAACTGTTTCTGTCTTAATCATGATACAAGGACATAACCATCCATCACTGCCCCCCAAGCATTGTGAGTGACCTTTGAGTAGGCATTTAAAGTTTCCTTGGAACATCCTGGAACAAGGGCATTCTGTCAACACAATATAAGGACAACTGTCACCCTAGCACACCAGAAGACCGAGGAGAAAACAAAGATTTGTGCACATCCTTCTCCAAACCACTAACAAATGTTGTTCTCCAAGTGTTAGCCCCCATATGAGAGTCCTCAGGAAGCTTTGGAGAAAGAGGCAGATGGAAGATGCTGTTTGTGTTAGGGAAATTTTGTCTAACAAATATGAAGACATAGATGATATTGTGTCAGAATAATGACAACTTAGGCTCATGTGGGTTCTGATGACCAGATTTTATTCATCAATGACTTGTTTTAGTGTATGGAGAAAGGCTTCTTGTTGTGGAATAATCCTGTACACTGTGTGAATAGATGTTGCTATGATATGTGTTGCATGGTTATTGTTCATGCAGACGGAAAAGGTTACAGATACACAGTACAGAAAGGTTCAGAGGGAAAAAACTGATAGATTAAACCAATCTATATGTTTTTAAAATGTCTTAACTTCAAAATATAGGTGAAGAGATTATTGGGGAAGAGAATATGCTATGGATTTGTTCAAAGTTAAAGATACTGGGGTTGAGCTAGGAGGGTTCCTTGAAAATTCTGAAAATTCTGGTTGCAAAGATAAAAATAAACATAGAAGGGCTAGAAGATACATAATGTGTATTTTATCTACCCAAACAGAAGACAATAAACAACTTTGGCTGTCTCATGTATAACACACAGTCTATAATTATACTAATGGAGACATGTATATTACCTTTAAAAGTTTATATATCTTCAGAGCAAGGGGGACCACACACCAATCAAAGTGGATGGCCTAGGTTAAACTGAATTTCATAATGCCTCTGTTACACTCTCCTTGGACTACTGCATCTATTAGTATTCAGGCATCTCTACTGGTCTGCCCTTGGGGTTCTGACAGGATATGCCCTCAGCTGTAGCCACTAAGAGTACCACCTGTGCACATTCACTACATTCCCTTTGAAAAGTACCCTACCCATCTCTCTCTCTCTTTCTCTCTGTCTGTCCCATTCTCTCTCCCTGATTCTCTGCCTATCTCTCTGTCTCCCCCCTCTCTTTCTCTATCACTGTTTTCTTTTCTGCTGCTTCTATCACTGAAGACTGGTCTCCCCTCTTCCCATTCTCATTTCCCATTCACTTTCCCTCAATAAAAACTGCTACACACGAGCTCTGTTGTATGGTATCTTTCTCTCATATGCTACATTTTAAAATTACAATGACACCCAGGACAGCTTCAAAGATGTTGATGAGATGATATAGCTTCACACAATACTCCAATAGGGATTTGACCATAATTTTAAATTATTTCAGGGTCCTCCAAAGATAACAACACCCTCAAATAAGAGGAAGCAGTATAGAGAAATAACGAGAGTTGGTTATAAGTGGTTACTGGTAATGGTCAGAAAAAAAACTGAACAAAGGATAATACTTTGGGGTATCTCATTCTAAAAAGAAAAGGGTGATAAAGAAATGCTATGATAAAAGGGTAGATTATTGAATCTACTTTATTACAAAAACAACTATTAATTTTAAATATTTTACATTGGCATAGATTTTGATTTGTTAATACAAATATAAAATTAATTTTGTTATGCTTTATGTGTATTTATATTCTTATTTAAGGTATCATATATATGCAGCTCATTTAAAATGTAATGTATGATTAAGAAATATAGATTAATTGTCATCTGTAAAAATCAAACTTATACTCATGTTAGGTAGGTTTTCAAGGTCATACAGGGTATATTTAAATAGATAGTCTTCAAACTCTTCACAGACCTACATAATATGCAGTTTAATAGTTTCTTTTAACTATGATAAAAGCAAATAATGTACAAAACTGTAGACTCACCAAGATAAGATAGATAATAGAGGAGCAAGTGACCCAGAATCTTGGAGAGAGAGTGTGTGTGTGTCAGCAGTGCAGTGAGCAGCCTGGAAGCATTGAAAACAGTGGCTTCCAGAAGCTACCTTAAGAAGTGCCTATGGGAAAGAATACCTGTCTTGCAACCAGCATCCAGTGCCATTCTCTGTTCAAGATACCCAGCTGCATGAGTGACCATGACAGCCTCAGACATGGCTGCATATACAGACACAATCACCAGAGCAGTAACTCTGCCTGCACCTGGAGGAGTGACCACCTGAGCCTTGCCCCCCCATACCTGGATGAGCAATCACCAGAGACATTTCCCTGCCTCCACCTGGAGAAGAGACCAACAGAGACACAGCCCCCAAGTGGACCAATTGGAGACTGAGTCACCCACTGAAGCAAAGGCTCCATCTGTACCAATTGGAAGAAGAAAGGGTAAGAATATGCTTAACACAAAGAGCAATAAAGCACCACCAGAAACTAGTAGTATCCTAATAGCCATATCTCAACATCCCAACACAGATGGAGCAGATGATAATGATCTTAAATATAACTTTATGAAGATAATTAAGGCTCTTAAAGAGGAATAAAATGCCCTTAACCTTTCAGGAAAAGATAAACAATCAATTGGAAGAAATCAACAAATTCCTTAAGGAAAACTGAGAAAGAGGAATCAAACATGGGAAGGAAATGACTCAAGGCATAAAACCTGAAATAGAGGAAATAAAGAATGCACAAACTGAGGGAATTCAGAAAATGGAAATCTGGGTAAATGAGAAGGAACTACAGATACAAGAAGTGACAACAGAGGGGCAGCGCGGGTACTGCAGGGACAGCAAGGCAGCAACGCCGACTGGAGACACCCGGGGAAGCCCGCGCCCCGCCTGCGCCTCGGCGGCGCGCCGGGGAAGCCGGAGCCAGAGCGCAGATCCAGCCGGGCGAGAGCGCAGGGCGCCGGCATCCTCCACCGCTGCGTCTGTCCGTGGCGGCTGCGCGGGAGACAAAGCCTCGGGAGAAAGATGCCCGCGGGACTCGCACCGGGTGGGCCAGGGAGCGGGCGCCTCCGAGTCTAAGTGCGCCCAGCTGTCCGTACGTTCCGGGGACGCCGAGGCCCCAGCGGGTCCAGTGGCAGGCGGGGCCCAGGTGCGCCCGATCGCAGAGGGCCTGTGACTGCTCGGGGGGCGGCGCCCTCCCGCCGCAGCCGCAGTGGCCGGCGCCGCAGCGAGGAGCCTTGGGCAACATCTCCTCTAACATCTCGGCCTTCCAGTCCCTGCACATCGTTATGTTGGGCTTGGACTCTGCCGGCAAGACCACGGTGCTCTACCGGCTCAAGTTCAACGAGTTCGTGAACACGGTGCCCACCATCGGCTTCAATACCGAGAAGATCAAACTGAGCAACGGCACCGCCAAGGGCATCAGCTGCCACTTCTGGGACGTGGGCGGCCAGGAGAAGCTACGGCCGCTGTGGAAGTCCTACAGCCGCTGCACGGACGGCATCATCTACGTGGTGGATTCGGTGGACGTGGACCGGCTGGAGGAAGCCAAGACGGAGCTGCACAAGGTGACCAAGTTTGCGGAGAACCAGGGCACGCCGCTGCTGGTCATCGCTAACAAGCAGGACCTGCCCAAGTCGCTGCCGGTGGCCGAGATTGAGAAGCAGCTGGCGCTGCACGAGCTCATCCCGGCCACCACCTACCATGTCCAGCCGGCGTGCGCCATCATCGGCGAGGGCCTCACCGAAGGCATGGACAAGCTGTATGAGATGATCCTGAAACGCAGGAAGTCTCTCAAGCAGAAGAAGAAGCGGTAATGCGTCCGGGCAGCGATTGGGAACGAGGCTGAGCGAGAGAGCCACTGAGTGAATGAATGGACGTCTGGGTGAGCGAGAACCCGCGCCCGTGAACAAAGACAACGAACCAAAGCGATGCTTCGAATTTTTAAAACACGATCTCTGTGTCCTAATGCAAGACTTGGAGACTTAACCCGGGTGTGGAGGCTGCATTACCACCTTGCTCGCCACCTGCCCCACCCCCCACCCCAGCTCAGGGGACCTTTTGTCTAAATGCTTGAGCTACCTATGGGGTGGGGTGGGGGGAACCGGCGGGGAGTGGACGTGAGGACGCGAGGGTCCGGTGGTGAGCCCTCTGGCCCCAGGTGGGAAGCTTGGATGTCAGAGAGACAAAAGAGATTTCTTCTTGCTCCATCAGGGCCAGAAGTTCAGGCTGCCCAGCCCCCACTGCGGGGGGAAATCACGTGTGAGTTACCTGAGGTATGCAGTTCACAGAACTCTGGGGATACCCCCGTGGGAGCGGGTAGGCACTGGGGTGTACTGATGGGGGGTGGGGGAGGTGACCGCTCCTTGCATTCTGGAGCTGTGCGAACTGAATCGTTTTATGTCGCAGGGCAGGCCCCTGTTTGCAGTTTCATTTGTCCTGCTCTGGGCCCAAAGGAGGTGGTGGCGTGGGTCCGTCCGGTGGACTGCCTGGGACCATGCGGCAGCCGGAGGCCCAGGGTGCTGCTGCGCTTCTGGCCTTGGCTGGGAATGGCCTGGAAGACGCCACTATCCAGGGGTGGGTGTGTGTGGTTTTGTTGAGAACTGCTGTTCAGCCTGGGATGAGACCTTTTCCAGATGGCCTAGGCCCTGTCAGTATGTTGGTCACTATCACATAAAGAGACCAATAAAACAAAGAAAAACAGAAAAAAAAGAAGTGACAACAGAATGCAAGTGTTGGAAAAGAAAAATCTCAGGTGTTGAAGATTCAATAGTGGAAATAGATTCATTGGTCAAAGAAAATGTTAAATCCAACAAAGTCATAACACAAAATATCCAGGAAATCTGGGACAGCATCAAAAGCTTAACCTAATAATAATAATAGGGATATAAAAGGGAGAACATGTCTAACACAAAGGCACAGAAAATATATTCTATGAAATCATAGAAGAAAACTTTCCCAACCTAAAGAAAGACATGCCTATGGAAGAAAAAGAAGCTTACAGAACACCAAATAGACTGAAACAAAAAGCTCTCTCAACACATAATTATCAAAACACTAAACATACTTAATTAAGAAAGAATACTAATATCTGCAAGGGGAAAAGCCTCAGTAACATATAAAGCAAGACCTATCAGAATTACACCAGACTTCTCAATGGAAAAATAAAAGTCAGAAGATCCTGGACAGGCATTATGTAAACACTAAGATACCAGGCATGCTAGTCAAGTATACTGTACCCAACAAAGCTTTCAATCACCATAGATGGAGAAAAAAGATTTTTCCTGACAAAACAGAATTTAAACAACACCTATGCACAAACCCAGCCCTTCAGAAAGTTCTAGAAGGAAAACTCCAACCCAAAGAAGGTAGCTACATCCACAAAATCAAGGACAATAGTCAATCCTATACCAGCATATCTCAAAGAAGAGAAACACACACAAAATATTACCAATAAGAACAAAAATAAAAATAACAGGAACTAGCAATCACTGATCATAAAAATCCTTTAATATCAATGGACACAGTTCTCTTATAAAAGACATAGGCTAACAGTGTGGATACAAAGACAGAATCCATCCTTTTGTTGCCTACAAGAAATACACCTCAACTTCAAAGACAGACATTACTTCAGAATAAATGTTGGGAAAAGATTTTCCAATCAAATGGACATGAGAAAAGAGCTGATGTAGTTATCCTAATATCTAAATAAATAGACTTCAAACTAAAAGTAATCAAAAGAGATGAAACAGGATATTTTATGTTCATCACAAGAAAATCCATGAAAATGAAGTCTCAATTCTGAACAGCTAGGCACCAAACACAAGGGCACTCACATACATAAAAGAAAGGTTATTAAAAGTTAAATCATACATCAAGCCCCACACACTAATACTGGAAGAATTAAACACCCCACTCTCACCAACAGACAAGTCTTCCACATAGAAAATTAACAGAGGAAAAAAAGGAACTAACTGTTGTTATGACTCAAATGGGCTTAACAGACATCTGTAGAACATTCCACCCAAAGACAAAAGAGTATACCTTCTTTTCAGCATGCCATGAAACCTTCTCTAAAATTGACCCCCATACTAAGTAAGAAAGCAAACCTCGAGAGATTAAAACAATTGGAATAACCCCTGTATCTTATCAGATCACCATGGCATAAAGTTAGAATTCAACAGCAACACTAATTGCAAAAGCCCACAAACTCATGAAAAAATTGAACAATGTTCAACTGAATCAGCCCTGGGTCAACGAAGAAATGAAGAAATTAAAGACTTCCTAAAGTTCAATGAAAATGACAGCACAAAATACCAAAATGTATGGGACACAATAAAAGCAGTGCTAAAAGCAAAGTTCGTAGAACTAATGTCTATATAAAGAAGTTGGAGAAATCTCACACTAACAAATTAACAGAACAACTGAAAGTTTACCCAGGAGGAGTATATGACTAGAAGTTTTCAAATGAGGCCTGAAATCAATAAAATAGAAGCAATGAAAACAATACAAAAATCACTAAGACAAAGACTTGGTTCTTAAAGAAAGTCAACAACAGAGACAAACCTTTATCCAAAACTATCCAAAATGCAGAGATAGAATATGAAAATTAACAAAATCAAAACAGAAGCTGAGGAAATACAGGGAATGATTAGGTCATACTTCAAAAACCTGTACTCACCAAATTTGAAAGTTTTAAGGAAATGGACAATTACTTGGATAACACCACATAACAAACTAAATCAATACGAGAGAAACAAACTAAATAGACCTATATCACCTAAGAAAACAGAGATAGTCTTCAGAAGTCTAGCAAAAAAAAAGAAACAAACAAGGACCAGATGGCTTTAGTGCAGGATTCTATTAGAATTTCAAAGAATAGCTAATACCGATACTCCTGAATTTTTCCACATAATAGAAACAGAAGGAGCAAGTTTTAGACCACCTACACCCACCAGAGGAGGTGAGTGTTGCCCTACTCAGGCCCATATTCCCTGTCCCCTCCTTGGAGTTTCCTGGGTCTTCTCAGCATGTGGTAGATCCTCACAGGCAGGCCAAAGCATTCAGAATCTGCTTACATAGCAGTCTTAACCTGCATAAAACCACTGGGAGAGCAGATAAGAGGGAGAGACCACAAATGCACCCACTGGAAGAAGGGATGGGAAGACAACACTATAAGAACACATTCAACAACAGAAAGAGAAATATGATGCCACCAGAGTCTAGGGATTCTACAACAACAAGACCTGAACATCCCAATGCAGATGAAGCAGAAGTGAATAATCTTAAAACAACCTTATGAAGGTGAGCGAGAACCTCAAAGAGGAAATCAGAAAATCCCTTAAAGAAATAAGAAAAAACAAACAAAATACAAGAAATGGAGGAAAAAACAAACCCAAAAATGCAGGAAATAAACAAATCTCTTAAAGAAATCAAGGAAAACTAGGAACAAAACAACACAACAAACAGTTCAAGGCTTGAAAGCAAAATAGAAACAATAAAGAAAACACAGAATTACAGAATTCTGGAAATAGAAAAGCTGGATATACAGATGTAAGCACAGCCAACAGAATACAAGACATGGAAGAGAGACTCTCAGGTGTTGAAGATACAATAGAGGAAATAGATTCAATGACCAAAGAATGGTAAATCCAATAAATACTTAACACAAAATATTGAGGAAATCTAGGACATCATGAAAAGACAAAACCTAAGAATAACAGGGATGGAAGGTGAAGAAGCCCAACTCAAAGGCACAGAAAACATGTTCCACAAAATCAGAGAAGAAAATTTTCCCAACATAAAGGACATGCCTAAGAAAGTAGAAGAAGCTTACACAACATCAAATAGAATGAACCCAAAAAGTCCCCTTGCCACATTATAATCAAAGCACCAAACAAACATAAAAAGAAAGAATATAAAGAGCTGTAAAGGTAAAGGTCAAGCAACATATAAAGGCAGACCTGTCAGAATTACAACTGACTTCTCAATGGAAAACAATAAAACCAGAAGGTCCTAGATAGATGTTCTACAAACACCAAGAAACCACGGATGCCACCCCAGACTACTATACCCAGCAAAACTCTCAATCACTATAGATGGAGAAAGCAAGATATCCCATGACAAAAACAGATTTGAACAATACATATACACAAATCCAGTTGTACAGAAAGTATTAGAAGGAAAACCACAATCAAAATGAAGTTAACTATACTCACAAAAACATAGGCAATGAATAATTCCACTTCACCAATAAAAAAAACAAAAGGGGGGAAATCCACACACTATACTACCTAGGACAAAAAAGAATTAACAACAAGTGGTCATTAATATCCCACAATATCAATGTCTTAACTCGCCTATAAAAAGACACAGACAAACAGAATGAATATGAAGACAGAAATCATTCTTCTGCTGCATATAAGAAACACACCTCAACTTCAAAGACAGACGTTACTTCAGAGTAAAGGATTGGAAAAAGGCTTTCCAATCAGATGGACCTAAGAAACAAGCTGATATCGCTTTCCTAATATCTAACAAATTGGACTTGTAACTAAAATTAATCAAGTGAGATGAAGAAGGGCATTTTATATTCAGCACAGGAAAAGGCCATCAGGATGAAATCTCAGTTCTGAACATCTATCCACCAAACACAAGGACATTCACATTTGTAAAAGAAACATTATTAAACTTAAATCAAACATGAAACCCCACACACTTATACTGGGATACTTCAGCATCCTACTCTCACCACTGGATAGAACCACCAGACAGAAACTTAACAAGCAAATAAAGGAACTAACAAAAGTTATGACCAATTGGATTTAACAGACATCTATAGAACGTTCCATCCAGACACAAAAGAATATACTTTCTTATCAGTATCACATGGAACCTTCACAAAAATCAACACCGTACTTGGCAACATATCAAACCTCAGCAGCTTCAAAAAAATTGGAATAACTCCATGCATCTTATCAGACCACCATGCTTTAAAATTAGAATTCAACAACAACACAAATTGCAGAAAACCTACAAACTCATGGAAATTGAATAATGCACAACTGCACCATTCCTCAGTCAAAGAAGAAATAAAAAAAAGAAATTAAAAACTTCCTAGAATTCAATGAGAATGGAGACACAACCTACCCAAACCTATGGGACACTTTGAAAGCAGTGCTATGGGGGAAGTTCATAGCATTAAGTGCCCACATGAAGAAACTGGAGAATAGTTATACTAGAGAATTAACAGCACAGCTGAAAGCTCTAGAACACAAAGAAGCAAACTCCCCCGGAGGAGTACACACCAGGAAATAATCAAATTGAGACATGAAACCAATAAAGTAGAAGCAAGGAAAACAATACAAAGAATCAATGCAACAAAGAGTTGATTCTTTGAGAAAATCAACAAGATAAACAAACCTTTGTCCAGACTTACCAAACAACAGAGTGTGAACATGCAAATTAAAAAATAAGAAATGAAAATGGGGACATAACAGTAGACTCTGAGGAAATTCAGAGAATCATCAGCTCATATTTTGAAAAGATGTAATCCACAAAATTCGAAAATTTAAAGGAAATGGATGCCTTCCTGGATAGCTATCACTTGCCAAAATTAATCAAGAACAGATAAGCAATTTAAATAGACCA